GCTCCTCAAGGCTTTATCGACTTGTGAGCTGTTTGGTATTAATCAGAGCTGTAGATTTTGGGCAGCAGACGAGGGGAAAAGAAGGTCGCTCGGGAGAGCTGGCATGGTGATCCATATTAAATATCTTTTAATACTTTTAATAAATCCTTTTGGTCGGGGATGAGAAGCACAGCTCTGCCTTTGGTATCAATAAACCTGGCAAATAAAGCAGCAGAGCACCGCCGCCAGCTTACAGACCACAAATAATTTAACTGTAAACGAAGCACAAGGACTTATGTTATGTTTAATATGTTAACCTCTTTCGTGTTATTCCGTTTTTTTCAAGTCCACATAAAGCTCGTCACCATGACAACAGCTGCACCTTGAAGCGTGCCGGTGTGTAACATTTAGGAGGATTCTATTGGACAGAAAGGGACGTATGGTTTTCGATTATTGTTTATTGTTGCGCTTAAATAGCACATTTTTTATCTTCCATAAGCGGACAAACAACCGCTCTAGATTTCTCGCTTTTTCCCTGCACACTCCTCATTCCTTAGTTGTCAGACCTATACAGGAACGCCGCAGCAGTGTTCAGTTAGTTGGCCAATAATCCTACACACCTGCTCTTTAAATACCCACCTTAAAAATTCTCCTCCGTCAGTCGCTCGTCTGTGCTTGGCGCTGCGGTATCATGGCCGCCCACGTACCTCCACCAAAGCTCCGGATCACTTCCTGTTGGGAAGACAGTTGGCCCACGAGTTATCACGCTTTTCGATGCCTTATAGCATAAAACTCGTTACACGGCTTCAGGGGTGTCCAAAACGCAGCCGCCAGGGTGTTAAGCAAATCTAGAAAGCAATGATCTCCTCTTTTTGAGCTTCCCTGCACCGGCTTGCTCCCCGTTTAGAATTGATTTTTAAGTTTTAAGAGTCTTAAGGTTTGAAGGCCCTTCATCGGTACCTGGGGCTGAGCGCTCAACTCATGACACTTAGCCCAGAGCCCGAGGTCCTAACGGTGAAGGGCTTTTATCCGTAGGGGCCTCCGACCCTTTGGAGATAAGCCTGCCTCAGAAAAATAAGTACAGAAAATTCCGTGGGCCTCTTTTTTAGAACTCATTTATTACCATCTGCGTCTTTTTTTAAAATAGTTTTATCTGTTTCTTGTTTTTTAAAATTTGTCCTTCTATCTATGTTTATCTTTACTTTAATTATGAGTAATAGCAGCTGCTTGTTTGCGTAAGCACTTTGTAAAGGTAGGTTTTTGAAAGAAAAAAAAGTTATATATTATCAAATCAAAAAACTTTATTTGTAGCAGCTTTTCATACAGTTTAGTGCAGTTCAAAGTCTTTCAGATTTGACTGATTTGAAGATTGATAATTAGACTGACTGGATAAATTTTTAATTAACAGTAGATTAAACATAAAATACACAGATTAAAAATGACTAACTTCTATTTTATTGATTATACAATAGTGTTTATATAATAAGTTATAAGGTAAAATAGATTTAGTGGCACGCAAAATAAACAAACCATATTATTATTACTATATTATTATTATTATTAATTATTATCATTATATAAAATTATTCATCAACAACTCATAAGCTCAGTTTGTTATTTTGTTGCTTTATTCAACATGTTTGCTTTATTTTTGAGTCCCTCACAGTTTTAAAAACTGATTAAAAATCAGTAGTAAGATTTTATTCAAGTTTAAAGAAAGAGGAAAGGATATATATTACACATAAGTCTGGGGCTGACTCATATGTTACATCTTTGGTTGAACAGTTGAGAGCTTCTGTTCAAAAAATATTCATGTGTAAAGTGAGTTTAATTTTCTTTTGTGTTTTTCATGCTATGATGATTCATGAGTGTCAATTTTCCATAAAATAGCTTGAATAGCTAAAATATTCTGGTGCACAGACGATCAAAAACTGTAATTTATTTTCAGTATGTTTAATTTGAACAAACTTTAGTTCAAAAGCCTGTAAAAGAAGACAACACCGACTATTTAACGAGTATTTATCCTGATTTCTCGTCATTTTTTTAATGAATTTTGTTGTAAACATGAAGATCTGAAAACATTCAAATTTGTGTAATTGTATCATAATAATTTATATATTGTTCTCCAGGAAACTTTTGAAAATTAGTCAAATTAGTCCAGTGCTATATAATATTTGAAGTCACAACTATTTAAGACTAAATAATAATGGAAAGGAACAATTTCCATTCATGGTTTTCAGTGTTTTTTATTGGTCATGAATAAAACCGGTGTGATAATTTTAAACTCGTTCACTTGCTTTGTTTTGTCACCAAATGCAGAATAAATCCACCTAACTGATGAATTTAAATGTTATTGTCTCATTAAGTAATCAGCCAATGAGGTGGGTGACCCTTATTGATTTAAAGAGCACAGACACATTTCACCAGCATTTGGTGCTCAGTAGGCGGTAATTCAAACCCTGACACACTGCTACACACACACACACACACTGCGTCCTCCCACAGTCAACACCTGTGACTGCCAAACGGGATGGTCTGGCATGCTGTCACTCTCCGCCTCTGCCAAAACACACCACACACTCCGTTAAAGTGAAGGGCAGATTCTCCACAACAATCCTTAAAAACATGGACCGGTATCAAAGTAACAATCAGCGCTGCCAAAGACAAAGTACTGGCGTTGCTGTGTTTGTAGTCGCTGCCAGTGCTGAGGTGTCAAAATACAAGAGCTCCGTCTCGGTTGATTTGCTGCACAAAAATCCGCCCAAAAAAACCCCAAAAAACTGGACATCGGAATTGCAGTCGCAGCTGCCAAAAGCAATGTACGGTGCTTGTCAAAGAGGTGCTCAGTTTAACTCAGATCAGAAGACACTTTTATGGAGGAACTCATACAAATACAAATACAAATATGTGTGACAATCAAACCTGCTGTCACTTTACTGTAGTTACATTATAATGTATGTAACACGCAGTAAAACAGTAAAACTACATATGATTTCTCTGTCGTTTTCAGAGTTATGTGCTTTTGT